TCTATGGACTTTGTTTTAGGTTTAACTCGAACAAAGAAGGGGAGGGATAACATATTTGTTGTCGTGGATAGATTCTCGAAAATGGCACACTTTATACCATGTCATAAAAGCGATGATGTTGTTAATGTTGCTGGTTTGTTCTTTCGTGGAATTATTCGCTTGCACGGTGTGCCAAATACTATTGTTTTAGATCGTGATACTAAATTTCTTAGCCACTTTTGGAGATATTTATGGGCTAAGTTGGGGACTAAACTGCTTTTTAGTACTACTTGTCACCCCCAAACTAATGGACAAACTGAAATAGTCAATAGAACATTGTCTACTATGCTTAGGGCTATTTTGAAGAATAATAAGAAAATGTGGGAAGAATGCTTGCCTCATATTGAATTTTCTTATAATCGTTCATTGCATTCTACTACTAAGATGTTCCCTTTTGAAATTGTGTATGGTTTCCTACCTCATGCACCTATTGATTTGTTGCCTCTTCCATCTTTGGAGAAGGTTAATTTTGATGCTAAACAACATGTTGAATTGATTTTAAAAATGCACGAGTTAACTAAGGAAAGCATTGAGCGTATGAATGCTAAATATAAACTTGCTGGAGATAAGGGTAGAAAACATGTTGTGTTTGCACCTGGAGATCTTGTTTGGTTACATTTGTGTAAGGATAGATTTCCTAATTTGCGCAAATCAAAGCTAATGCCACGTGTTGATGGTCCTTTTAAGGTGTTAGAGAAAATAAATGATAATGCATATAAACTTGAGCTGCCTGCAGATTTTGTGGTTAGTACCACTTTTAACATTGTAGATTTGAAGCCTTATTTGGGTGAGGAAGATGAGCTTCCGTCGAGGACGACTTCATTTCAAGAAGGGGAGGATTATGAGGACATCAATACCATTGTTATACCCACAACCCCTGCTGCTATACGCATTGGACCAATTACTAGAGCTCGCGCACGCCAATTGAATTACCAGGTACTTTCGTTTTTTGGTAACGATTCTAATGTTCATGAGAATATGATGCTGCCTAAATTGGATACATTTGTTTTGCTTACAAATGAAGGGCCTAGCTTGGACAAGAAAGGTGAACCTTGGAGCAAGTTCAAGCATGGAGATGATGGCATGCGCAACGGAACAAGAACGGAGTTACAAGTGATGATTCCAGGACTTTGAAGCCACCATAATGAGTGCATGAAGCCTTGGATGAAATATACAAGATGTCACTTCATAAATTTCATCCAGAGGCTATTCTAGGTGTTGCGTCACCTTATTTTTGGGTCAGCCCCATGTAATTTTGAAATACTTGATTATAGGTTGTTTTTAGAGTCCGTATGTGTGGGGAAACAAGAGTTAGGGTTGGTTTTGTCTCCCTCCTTCAAGGGCCACGAAATTCCCCCCTCTTTCCTCCATATATACAACCCTTAGGGCATCGTTTAGACTTTGGGTTTTGTTTAGATTAAAAGTACGCCATAGCTGCAACTTCGCGTACTTCGTTTGTGTTCAACGACCAGACCAATACGTCACAGTCCCCCACCTTGATCAATAAAGCTTTCATCTTATATTCGCAATATCCATATTAGAATCTCAGTTTCTTGCTTATTCTTCGTTTGCTTGCAGGAAATAGACCTTCGTGGTCAGGTTGATCGTGCTCCGGCGTAGTCAATAACCTCTCGGAGTTGGTTTAGCGATTGCTAAGGCGCGACGTCCTCGCACGTTCGTAGTCGGGTCGTCAAAGTCTACTCCACCAAAACGATAACCACCTTCTCATCGAATGACGAGACACCTTAGCCTCTATCATCTGTTGGGGCCTATTGTTCTGTTCCTGCCCCAACAAGACATGTTTATTTCTGTTTTTCTATAGGGATAACTCTATACTTGTATGAAATATGTCGTGGTGGTTAATGTAAAGGGGAAACCCTTTTTCGACTTTTCAAGCTACCATAGTGGGTTACCCAAGTATGACTAGCTTGACAAGTTCAGTGACAGAGAATGCATTTTTTACTCTAAAGCAATCAACTAGTTTAGTTTGTGTGCGCATCTCAGCTAATGTGTCAATAACGCATTTTACTAGCAAGTTCGGTGATAGTGAACTACACATCTCAGCTACCCATTTGTGTGGTTTAACTACACATATCATGCAAGTTTATAGACTAATAAAACTATAGAAAAGTTGTTGATTTTGGGAAATCTTTGACGATGTCAATTTTCTGCTTGCCGAAACATTATCTAGCCAATTTTTGGTTGTATAAACTGTGCTCTTACTCGAAGTTAGAACTGCTCATGTTTGAGCAAAGCATATGATAGAGTAGAATGAAAGTTTCTTGAAGACATGATGATAAAACTAGGATTTAAAAGGGTCTGGGTCCAGCTGATAATGAAGTGCATAACTAGTGTAAAATAACAAATTAAGGTAAACCAGGGCAAAATTGATGTGATCGTACCTCAGAGAGGACTATGCCAAGGAGATTCTTTATTCTCATACTTATTTTTGTTTTGCGCTGAAGGTTTCTCTGCAATGTTGAATGAAGCTGAAGCAAATGGAAAGCTCAGAGGCATAAGAATATGCAGAAACACCCCTAGTGTTAGCCGCCTCCTCTTTGCGGATGACTCATTAGTGTTAATGGAGGCAAATGAGGGAGCAGCACAAGAGGTAAACATGATATTGAGTACATATGAAAAGTGCTCAGGGCAAATGATAAACAAGGACAAATCATCAATTTTCTTTAGCAAAAATAAGGATGAGGGACGAAAAAACATTATGAAGAGGATCATGGGCATCAATGTGGAGGGCTTAACTAGAAAATACTTAGGCCTTCCTACATATATTGGCAAAGGAAAAGCAAAGAATTTCGCTATATTCGAGAGAAGGTCTGGAAAAAAAAACAGGAATGGAAGGAGAAACTGTTGTCAAAAGCAGGGAAAGAAATATTGATAAAAACTGCGGCGCAGGCAATTCTAGTGTATGCAATGGCATGCTTGGACCTGACCAGAACCTTCTGTGACGACCTGAGTGCTCTCATAGGACGCTATTGGTGGAGCCAAATGGATAAGACCAATATAATCCATTGGATTAATTGGGAAAAGCTATCAAAGCCAAAAAAAGATGGAGGTATAGGTTTTTGGAACCTGCACTATTTCAACCTAGCTATGTTGGCTAGACAGGCATGGAAAATTCTACAGAATCCCCATTCCTTGTGCTCCCAAGTGTTGGCTGCCAGATATTTCCCAAATGGATCAATGCTTGAGGCTATTCCTTGTGCAGGTATTTCCTATACTTGGCAAAGCATAATAAAAGGCATACAATTGCTGGAGAAAGGGATAATATGGAGAGTGGGAAACGGGGAAAGGATCAAAATATGGACTGGTCCGTGGAGGAAACACACGGAGGCCCAATACACCAAAAGGTAACCATCTGGTGGACAAAGTAGCTGATTTGATCAACCCGATAACAAACCAATGGGATGTGCAGCTGGTACAACAGACATTCTCGGCTGAGGATGCAAACCTCATCATGCGAATACCCATTCAAGAAGATACAGGTGATTTCATTGCATGGCATTATGATAAAAAATGATCATTTTCTGTTAAATCAGCTTATAAGGTGGGTGTAGATAGTGCAGCTAGAGATTTTGTATAGGGCTAACTTCAACTTTCATTGCAGAAGGGGAAATCTCAAGCTTCAACTGGAAGAAGTTATGGGCGCTCCCTCTACCAAACAAAGTACTACACTTCTTATGAAGAGTTGCGACGTACAACCTTCCCTTGCGAATGAAACTTCATAGAAAAGGTATTCCTGTTGATACTAGGTGCCCTCTTTGTTATAGATTGGATGAGGATGGAGGCCACCTCTTTTCTTAATGCAAAAAAAGTTAAAAATCCGTGGAGAGCATCTCAACTTGAACACATCAGACTAAAGTTAGTCGAATGTCATGACCGAAAGGAAGTGTTTGAAAACATTTTCACTTCAAAGAAAACCGAATGCTTGAAAGTTTGCTTACTTTTATGGTTATGGTGGCATGAAAGAAACAACGCTAGTAAGGATGAACCCACAAGAAGTATTATCTTCAATTGACTTGCGTGAAGGACAAGACAAAGAAGGAAGAGATGAGCAAGCAAGCAAAACATGAGTGGAAGCCACCTCCGAAGGGAATTCTCAAGATAAACACAGATGGATCCTTTACTGAAGAAACACAGTCAGGAGGCTGGGTTTCACCGTCAGGAATGCTCCTGGCAGCAGGTGCTCGAAGTCTGAATCAAGTCTCCAGTCCATTGCATGCTGAAGCTTTGGCCCTTCAGCAAGCAACTATTACTGCTACTCATTTGGGCTGCCAACAAGTGATATTTGAAACAGATTCCACAAGGCTGAAGGAAGCAATAACAAGTAACAACCTATGATCTTTCAGCTTTAGGCACTTTGTGTACAGATGTGAAGTTTAAGGTGCATGTAGGTCTGAATGTTGTGAGTGTGAATCAATGTAGCCGTGGTTGCAATAAAGCAGCAAATATGTTAGCTGCGAGTGGAGTCTATATTGAGAGTGGGTGCTATGAGACTCGGCTTGGCCACTTTCCGCAACCTGTACTAGACGCTGTTGCTGGTGATATGGCCAGCGAGTAATCGTAATAGAAATTTGTGTTTGCTTTCAAAAAAAATAACTGCTGATGTTTGATGTAGCTTGGCTGTAAACCGTGCTCTGACCAAGCTAGCATCGGTGCCATTGGAAGCGAGAAACATATCAAAAAGATGAATTTTGTGACAGCATACTGACTAAGCACGAGGAGCAAATCCACACAGGATTAAGATATTGTAGCACAACAGGCTGATAGAGGACGATTACATAGTAGATGGGCACACAACCAAAGCAGCTGGGACAGCAGCACACCAGAGTTCAGACCCATGCTTAGGTCAACAACCAGTCATTGCGGAACATGATAATACTAGGTGGATTACGGCAGCTTCTCTCTCTCTCTTTTATCTCTCTCTCCGTCCGATTTGGCAGATATCACGGCTTGAGGTGGGGGAAGCACTGGACGAGGTCGCTCTTCGGATGCTTCGCCTCGGCGTGCTCCTTGCACTTTGCTTCAGAGGTGGTGCAGATGAAAGTCTGCATGCATATCTTGCACTGCATTGGGAAGGAAGCATTGATCAGATGACCAGGCAATACGAAATAATGTTTCTTGGCAGAAATGCGGAAGATTACAAGATCTCTACGGTAACTTATAACATATTACCTCCATCCCAAATTACTTGTCTTAGATTTGTCTAAATACGGATGTATCTAACACTACAACTTTAATTCGGGACAGAGGGAGTATTCACTAGACTGGTATGATGTGCAAGGCAAAGCCACTGAAATATTTCAGCTATCCAATATGGTGCACATCAATTGGCAGACAAGAAGTTGATTAACTCACAGGCAACATGACTGCCATGATTATTTGTCAAGACTAATTATACACTGCAATGACAATTTTCATTATATCAAGGGCTACATCACTTTGTTACTAGTTCAAGTTGTGAGCAGTTGGGCTCCAAGAGACTAGAATTTTTCACCTGGCTATTTGGCATCTCAAGCTCAGTCCATCAAGTTGGTAAGCAAACAACGGGCGCATCCACTGGGACTATACACTAACTTAACAGGAGTCTTCCAGCTACCCCTTCCCCCTGGATCCTAGTGACTAGCTAGTACCATCCAGAACAAGTTTCAGACACAAGCATAGCCTTGCTTGGTAGCAGCCCAAAGCTGGTTCGGACATGCCACACTCTTAAAGCTGTCAGATTATATCTCATTGAACTACAAGTGTCTCTTACTCCCTCCGTTTCTAAATATAAGCCTTTTTAGAGATTCCACTATGGACTACATACAGAGCAAAATGAGTGAATCTACACTCTAAAATATGTCTATATACATCCGTATGTAGTTTGTAGTGGAATCTCTAAGACTTATATTTAGGAACGGAGGGAGTACTTATCAAACAGCGACACACACACTGTGAAGGTTGCAACTTTGCTTGGCAGAACTCAGGCAGACAAACAACTAGTAGTAACTTGTAATACGCACGATATGCGAGGAAAATACCCCTAGATCTATGCCCGAAGGAGCAATTTTGGAAAAAATTAACTTGTAATCTAGCATACTAGTATGTCGATACGCTAGCTATAGTCCTGGCAGTCAAAAGTAGAGTACATGACTCACTTCGTTTCTCTAGGCGCAATTGAGAAATACGCTCCAAATCCTACCGATAATCACCGCACAAAAAAGAAAAATCCATCCACCCAGAGTCCTATGGAGAAATAGGCTACCAATCGTCGTTGCAACTGACGGGCCACGCATCCCGTCCCAGTTAAAGGCGTAATTTCAACAAATTCAACAGATAACAGTCTCGTCTGCGGAAAAAAAAATCCCCAATCGCTAGAGAGGGTTAGATCGATTCGATCGATTGGACAGGCGGGATTAACGGCGCACCTGGATGTTCATGGCCTTCTTGTTGGCCTCGAGCTGGCTCCCTGCGAAGGATCACAAGAGAAAACACCGACAGGATCAGATCAGGAAGACCAAGAAGATCTGGCGACCAAGAGAAGGGGATTAGCTCCGTTACCCTTGCCGCCCTTCAGCTTCTCGAGGTTCCTCTCCCTCGCCATCTTGGACTTCTGCGCGTTGCCACCGCCCATGGTTGTTGATTCCTCGACGAGACGAGAGACGATGCTTTTCTGCTTCGGCGGAAATTTGGTGGGGAAGGCGAGAAGCAGGAGGCGGCTGCGTTTAATAGACGTGGAGGTGGGAGGTGGAGGCGGGGGCCGACGTTGGCGTCAATCAATCGCGGGCAACTTGCGCGTGCCAGTGTCCGTGTGGACCCCCGCTGAAGGAGGGCGTATCTGGACCGTCCGTTAGCTGCTCCTTCCGAGGTCTAGAACCATCTTTAACAAAGTGGTGCTATGAACCGGGTCTAGAAATAGCTGTAAGAAAACTGGGTCTAGAATAAAATTCAAAATACTTTAACGGAATCGATAAAAATCTGACATCGGATTTTTAGATCTGGAAACAAACGTCTCCTCGACCGTTGATTTCTCACAAGAATCTCGCAGCTCCACCGAGACCAATATCTTGGTGTCACGTGGCAGAGATGAGCGGGTTGTGCCGTCCTCGGAGCGTTGGGTGCATGAGGAGGGAGGGGAGGAGACCACATCGCCGTCCCACGGATTGCACAGGTTGGGCGCGCCGACATCGTCGCGCCATCACTTCAGCAAGCCAACATCGATCCCGTCATGAATTTCGACTTGCGCCGGCATCGTCGCGTCGTCACTTCATATCATGCTGACGTCCACCATCCCAACCTGCTCCGTCACGTCGGCTGACGTGAAGGCTCCGACGTCACCTCATCGATTTGCCCCTGCCACCTCGGCTGGCTCAAGGAGTCAAGGGCTTCGGCGTCATCACTTCATCGACCTACTCTTGGGGCTCCAACGTCGCCCCGCTGACCTGCTTCGTCATGTCAGCTGGACCAAAGGTTTCGACTCGCAACATCAACTGTGTTGTGTTGTCACTTCATCGACCTACTCTAGGGGATCCAACGTCACCTTGCCGACCCGCTTCGTCATGTCAGCTGAGTCGGAGGCTTCAACTCGCTATGTCAACCGTGTTGTGTCATCACTTTATCGACCTACTTTGGGGGCTCCAACTTCACCCCGACGACCTGCTTCGTCATGTCAGCTGGACCGAAGGCTTCGACTCGCGACGTCAACCGTGTTGTGCTGTCACTTCGTTGAGTTGACCTCCTCGCTCCGCCACATCGAAACCAACTTGGGGGCTGGGATCTCGTGTTGTCTCAAGGCCGGACAACGTCATTAACATCGAGAGCATAAAGCATCTAAGTAACTTTAATTCTTATTTTTTTAAAGAATTTGTTTAGCTCGGTTAGGCATTAAATGTGTTGAATAAAGATGGTTTTTCTTTGTTTGATTTGATCGTTCTAAAAAATTTACCCAACTCCAGCTTCACCGAACATGGGGGATGTTAAGGCCTTTACTTTAACCTGTGTCATAACGGCCTAAGTGTTTGCTTCCTCGGTCGTTCCGAAGTCTTTTCCTATTGCTCCTTTTTCTATCGAGTACTCGGCTGATAGACGGCATGCCTTGTGAAAGGATTGGTATGGTCAACTAGAAGGGGTGGGGTTGAATAGGCGACTAACAATTTTAATCTCTTTTGCAAACTTTAGGATCACCAAAATGATAGGTCGTCTAGATATTCAACTAAGTGGAGAATCTACATGATAAGCGGAACGAGCAACACAAGCTAACAAGATTTAAAGGAAAGGCAAAAGCTAGCAACAAGTAAAGGAATGAGATAACCGCAAGTGGAGACGAAGAAGACGGTGTGTTTTCAAAGTTTTCGCCTTTGGGGAAGGTACGGATACGTCTCCGTCGTATTTATAATTTTTGATTTTTCATGTCAATATTATACAACTTTTGTACACTTTTGACAACATTTTATATGATTTATTTGGACTAACATATTGATCCAGTGCCCAGTGCCGGTTCCTGTTTGTTGCATGTTTTCGGTTTCGTAGAAAATCAATATCAAATGAAGTCCAAATGTGAAAAAAAATATGGAGAATTATTTTGGAATATATGTGATTTTTGGGAGGTGGAATCAACGTAAACGGCAGCCCACAGCCCCCAAGATACACCAGGGCGCGCCAGGGGGTGCCAGGCGCGCCCATGTTGATGGGGTTAAGTACCTAGGGTAGGGTCACGGACCTGTCCCAAGTAACTTACCCTAGGACATCCCTAGAAGAGGTCGTCTTCCAGTCGACCAACGAGGACTCACTCGACCAACGAGGACACACTCGACTGGCTTGAAGGACTCGACCACGAAGACTCACTCGACCACCAGGAGGTCAAGAGGCACTCTGCACCGCAACGGTCTGTAATTAAGTAGACTTTATGATAGTAAAGGCACTTTATGTGGGGCGTTACCAGTAACGCCCCAGACTTAACTCACCTTAAACCCTCTCCTACGTGGGCTGGCTGGGGTCCTGGCGCACTCTATATAAGCCACCCTCCTCCACAGGCAGAGGGGTTCGGCACCTTGTAATCCATACATTCATAATCCACTCGACCGCCTCCGGGCTCCGAGACGTAGGGCTGTTACTTCTTCCGAGAAGGGCCTGAACTCGTACATCCTTTGTGCTTACAACTTCTCCGTAGCTAGGACCTTGCCTCTCCATACCTACCCCCCACTCTACTGTCAGGCTTAGAACCACGACAGTTGGCGCCCACCATGGGGCAGGTGTTTTAGCGATTTTTCGGAGAAGTTGCGATTCTTCCGAGTATTTTCATCATGGTGTCTGCTGGAGTTTTGGTCGAGGGCCAAGAGATCCGTCTCGGCGCACTCACCTTCATCGCCGACGACTCCGCATGGCTTCAGGAGGCTCCACTCGACGTGGATGCGCTCCCCGTCCGCGGTGCGACGCATTTCCGCGCATGTGTCCGCGGTGTTTTGCTGCGGCAGCCATCGACCCAGTACCGGTCGGCTCCTCCGTCTTCCACCCTCCCGGTCTCCCGCCAGCGCAAGCGCTCGGGCCGGTCGAGGCTTCAGCGATGGGTGAGTCACGCGGTGGCTCGCCAGTCGACCACTACACAAGTTGCGGCAATCGAGCCCAACGAATCTCTCTACGGCTTGTTCGATCAGTCGACTGGCTCCGGAGAGACTGCATCCGAGTGCGGAAGCAGTGATCCAGCGGCGGAAATCTTGATGGTCGACGGGCCCCACAGCCCTCCTGGCTTCGCCCGCGGTGGTGGAGCAGGCGATGGCAGCGACCCTGCTCGAGGCTACGAAGAGTACCAGCCCAAGCCACTCGACTCTCTGCAAAGAGAAGAGCTTCGCCGCAGGAACGAGGATCCCCTGCGTATTCCCATCGCAGGAGAAACCCCCGAGGCTCGTGCCTTGGAGGAGGCGCGTCTGGCCAATTTGGCCGAGCGCACTCGACTGGAGAACCTTCAGCGAGCACTCGACGAACGCGCGCGGCAACGAGTTCCCGACACCAGTCGACGTCAACTCTTCCCGCCGACTCAGGTATATCGAACCCCAATTCAGAATTTAGCAGCTGCGACCCGTATAGCAGAGTCCATTCAGCCTTCGCAGTCAGAGGCTGGCAGAGGTTTGCTGCAGATCAGGGATCTGCTCCGGGCAGCAGGAGATCAGAATTCGGCCGTGTCTCAGTCGCGCAACAGAATTCACAGTCGATCTGTCACTGTGAATACGGTTCAATCGGCTCACAGCCCCAGATCGCCTCCGCGGCGCGAAGGGCGTGAGAATCGGCGAGATCAATATGGCGACAGACTCGACCGAGGTGATAGGCGTCGAGTGCCCTATTCCCCTCCGAGGGGTGGGTCTTACGCTCCTCGGCAGCCGGATGATAGGCGTCAGTACAGTACAGGGCGTAGGGCACCAGTTGACCATAGAGAGCCAGGCTTCGACGCGCGATCCATTATCGTGCAAGGGTTGGTCGACCGGAACAGAGCCCATCGAGGCGCACTCGACAGAGATGCGCCCACGAGCAGTCGAGTACATGTTTCTGGTCCTGAATGTTTCAGCAGAGCTATCAGAGCCGCAGTTATCCCCCCCAATTTCAGGCTGGCAACAGGAGTCAGCAAGTTCACTGGTGAGTCCAAGCCTGAAACTTGGCTTGAAGACTACCGAGTGGCAGTTCAGATCGGTGGTGGGAACGACGAGGTGGCCATGAAGCATTTGCCCCTCATGTTGGAAGGTTCTGCCAGGGCATGGTTGACTCAATTACCTCCTAGCAGCATTTACACTTGGGAAGATCTGTCCCGAGTGTTTGTCAGAACGTTTGAAGGGACTTGCAAGCGACCAGCGGGATTGACAGAGTTGCAAGTCTGTGTGCAGAAAACCAATGAGACTCTCAGAGAGTATATTCAGAGGTGGATCACTTTGCACCACACTGTGGAAAATGTCTCTGACCATCAGGCAGTATGCGCCTTTAAAGATGGTGTCAAGAACAGAGAACTGAGTTTGAAATTTGGTCGAACCGGTGACATGACCTTGAGTCGGATGATGGAGATTGCTACCAAGTACGCCAACGGCGAAGAAGAAGACCGACTCCGAAGCGGCAAGCACAAGCCGAGTCAGTCGGAAAAAGGAAACACCAGTCGGAAACAGAAGCGGAAGGCCGAACCGGCAGCTCCTGGGGAGGCTCTGGCCGTGACTCAAGGAAAGTCTAAGGGGAAACCAAAAGGATCCTGGAACCCCAAGAAGGTGAAGGATAAAGAAGGGAACGACGTGATGGATATGCCGTGCCACATCCACACGAAGAAAGATGAAGAGGGGAATATCATTTACCCAAAGCACACCACTCGCCAATGTCGACTCCTGATCCAGCAGTTTCAGGGAAAACAGTCTAAGGACAAGGAGAAGGAGTCAGACAAAGCCGAAGACAAAGAGGACAGTGAGGGAGGATACCCGCATATCAACTCCACTCTGATGATCTTCGCAGATGTGGAAAGCAGAAGTCGACTGAAAGTGATTAACCGAGAGGTTAACATGGTTGCCCCAGCAAAGGCAAGTTATCTGAAGTGGTCTCAAACGCCCATCACATTCGACCAATCTGATCACCCGTCTCATATTGCCACCCCTGGGAGGCAAGCTTTGG